TTATAAAACAATAACTGTAAACCGCAAAATTTCACTTAAAAATTAATTTTGATTAAGAAGTTCAATAGAGCGCTGTGAGAGCGATGAAGTCGACTAAGTACTAAATACAGTTAAAATGCGATTATGCCGGCGAGCGTTGCAGATCGGTTATTAGTCCGATTAACTAAAGCACTGCACTGCACTGGAGACTGCAATCAATTTATATACAAGCAGCAAAACAGACTAACGCCAAGCCGGCTAGCATAGCGGAGCTTGAGAGAACACAAACACACGCACACATGCGCGCAAGCGCGCAAGCGGCCGGAAGCAACTGAATTTGCAAAGAGATCAGACCACGCTGCGAAGCCGGCAAATGTACGTACTCAAAAACAGGTGTATGCCTGGTCAAACTTAAGTATTTACACATACATACGCACACGCCGACAACAATACATACATATGTGTATGTGTGAAAAAGAGAGAGATAAGAACTACGTATTTTGATACAATCATATATACACATATACTTACACACATATGTACATAGGCACACATGCACACAATATTTTAAACCTTAGCATCTAATTGTATTTGCTACAATTGAGAGAATACACAGCTTTTTACTCTTAACATTTGTGCTATTTTATCATAACTTTTATACTATTAGCTATTAACCAGTTTTTCCTAATTTCAAACAGAAAATGTTTGACCAAGTGGTTGTTATTATTGTTGCTACAAACGCAAGAACTCTCACAATTATATCATACCTTTCACTAATACGCGCTCACTTGCGGTGTGGGTATGCCTGTGTGTGTGCGTGAACTGATTAGAAAAAACTCGGCATGAGACGCCTACTTTTCGGCTACCGGAACCGCTATGAGCAATAACCGCAGGGCTGCAACAAACACACAAAAACATATGTAGACAGATTTCGTTGCATTTTTGATTGTGTGTGTAAATATGTAAATACGGTAAACTAGGCCATTATCTCCACATATTGCAAAGGAGAACCAGTGCGAACATATCTAGGGCATTTTCACATTCGCTCGGCATA